TTACCTGTTAGGAGGTTTCTCATTACCAAAATGCATTCCAATATTCCGACAGGATGCGTGGGCCCTTGACTGAGTCCGCAACCAGCGATGCTTTTTTCCTCCTATATATTGCGTGAATTTTATGGCGCAGGTTGCGTTGCAATCTGAGTCCAGTGCCCGAGCCAGTCGTTCGCTCCTTGTTTTTCTCCTTTTACTATCCTGCAATGAGGAAGATTCCTCGACCCGTGGAGCAAGCGGGAAACAAGCGGAATGAACGAATCCACGTAATCCTAAAATTCAGATATCCCTGGCCGATGAATCCGTGACGAGTTTTGGCAAAGGTATAGCGCGTACGTGCCCGTGAGTCACGCGTGACCTCAGAACTTGCTTTTCTACGCGTGCGACGATTCATATTTTCCTTGAAATTCTTTACTCCTACAACGGGACATTTGAACATTTTCGAGGTTGCGCGTCGCCCAACAGTCTGCTAAACCGACGCGTTTGAATTTTCGCCAAATGGGGCTTGCGACTTTCTTAATAAGTAATTGTTTGCTTACGTATCTGCATAACACAGGTTTGAAAATGAACACGGCACTGAGTGTATTACCATAATTATCTTCCTTTTTTTCAAGTACCAAAATGAAAGAAATTAATAGAACTTCTCAGATAACCTCAAGTCGGGCCCGAAATGAGAAGAAAGTAATAGAACACCTATTTCAGTTCCTAAAAGACAAACATTTTCCAATTAATCTAGCTGCACAATAATTGATCTAATGTAATATTATGCGATGCAGTGCATTGTATTATCCTGTGCAACGCAACTGTAGCTGCTAGTAACCCTCGGAGATGGATGCGACCTTAAATGTGCAAATAAATAAAAATAGTAATAATATTTTCGAATTTCGAATTTTCTTCGAATTAACTAGTTTTTCACACTGTTCCCTCTTTAGTTTGGGGATGTGACGTAATTTACTGTAATTTCGTGGCAAACTTACAATAGGTGTGTACGTACATTGTCGGAAAAAGAAGTGGCAAGCAGGCAACGTGTTTTTACTGAACAAAATTGGAGTTATGCGAGTATATTTTATTTTTTATCGAATATTAGAATATTGTTCACAGTTACATGGCTGAAGGAAAGAAAAGTTGATTGAAAATAGTATACAGTATCGGTATAAGAAGATACTTATTCGTACTATCATTTACACGCTTATAAATAAACAATGCGGGTACGATGTATAAATTTGCAAACTTAGTGAATATTCAATCTATAATTTATATTTGTAAATCAATAAATATACTGTACGCAGTTGTAAGGACTAATGTTTAGAGGCGAAATTACAAGTTGTTTTTATAAGAAAATTATTCTAAATAATTGTTACAGTATAACAAATTCATCTCAGAAAATTTACGAACATTCCTCCACAATTATTATAAACGGAGAATTTCAAAAATTTCGTATTCACAAGTCTACGATACACGTTCATTTTCATACTCTCTGTACCCAAAGTATGTAATCTTCAGCGATGAAAGAGATAAGGCAAACCCGTCGTGAGTGTCCTAAAAATATTTCGAAATGAATTTTTGGTTACTGCTGTACGCGTTCAGAAGGAACATTCAATGGTTGGTAGAATGGTTGGGAAGATCTGCGCGAAGCGACGTAAGGGGATAGAATGTGAAACGTTGGGCGTATTCGTGACCAGAATTCGTTAATCGTTAGACCCGTAAACTTTGTACGGTTGTACGAATTAAGTTGTGTTCGTCAAGTAGTTCTAAAAGTATCTAATAAAATCGTGAACAATATTACATATCTGCCATTTTTACATTTCACCTTTGTTACTCTTGTTGTATAGTCATTATGGATGTAGAAGAATGCTTACATACTTACTTCAACTAGGTTTTAACACTTAAAAGCACCTGTAGCTTGAAATATTTCAAAACACCCTGAGAAATGAAAAATTGGTAGGTAGGACACTTTAGCTGAGGACAGCATAGATAAATTATATCTATAGCTAATTATTTACAATTAATGAGTAACAATTGTGATTTTAGGCAATTGATAAATTTTGCCAGTGTGCTTAAATAATATTTGCAGTTAGCCTAAATGTAAAAAAAGAAGTTATTAGAAAATCTGTGAATTTTACGCTGAATGAAGTTATTCGTCAGTCTCACGACGCAATGTATAAGATATATCGAATTTTAAATGTTAAATATCGCGTAAATTATGTGTCGGTGTCGACCAAAAGTTATTTCGAGTAACAAATAAAAAGATGACGAATAAATAAATTTTTTAAACGTAATCATGTTTACAGTGATATCGAGTTGATTCACATGTGTAGTAATCTTACTTGAACAGCTCTAAGCCTAATTAAACAATTCATGTACGTTTGATATTCATTTTTTGTATTGGGGTTTATCATGTATTGGAAATGGGTTGTATCATGCCTATATTTGGATGCCTACCTTATACAGGGTGGGACAGAAACTTTGTCCACCTGGAATATTTCTGGTATTTGTAATAATACGGAGAAATGTTATATACAAAAGTTGCACAATATAGAGTGGGACATAATGTGACGTAAATACTTTGTATGTGGATAGATGCATAGAGATTTCGAGGTCATCTCGATTTTTTTGAATGGGCTGCAATATTTCTGTTATCACTGTGTGATAGTCGCTATTGTGGCGATTTTAGTGTGCCACCGTTAAAGGTCGTTCAAGGTGAAATGTGGTGGTAACAGAAATTTTCTTCCAAGTGTTGACCATTTGTGTCGATGCACAGTTGCAACCTTTGTATCGCTGAATCAGGTTTTATCACCTCTGAACTTATTCCAGCACATGCTGCGGTAACCTGTTATCTCATATGTTATCCGGTATAGTCGGCATTTCTTGATAGACAACATTTTTGTGCGTCCCTCGGAGAAAGAAATCTAATGGGAGAAGAAGCTGGCCATGAAACTGTCCCTTCACGTCCTTTAAGTGCCTCCCTTACTCTGCGAGAAATAATATGCTGGACATCCGTCGTGCTGTAACAACATTGTTTGGCGAACGTTTGGTGGTACATTTTCTAATAAAGCGCCCGATGTATTCCTTATAAATTATCACAGATTATACGGTAAAAATGACAAGCACCTTAGGCCGCGAACTTTCCAATCCATCCTCGGGTAGTTTCATCGGTGAACAATTGAAGAAAACGTTCCACTTGTTTTCGT